ATATTAAAAAACGTAATTGCCCCCAAAACGTAGATATTCAAAATTCACAAGACAACGGAGTACAATACCTTGAATTTTACTGGAAACGACAAAAAATAATGATTCTTTTTAATAGGTTTTTAATTAATAAGCTCTGCTGTGGCAGTCCAAGGTATTTTCCCCAGCTGGTTATTGCACACATCTGCCAGAAGTTACTGCTCCTGTACAAGGAAACAGACCTTAATGCCCCAGTGAAATCCGGAGTAACTGCCATGTGGAGTATGTTCTTCAACCATGCTACTAAAAGGGTAGTAATGCCATAATGACAGTAATTTGCAATAAAGATGTTATCAGAAGTAATTGTAGCCAGAAGGTAGTAACACCTTACATTGTAAAAATATCCTTGTCATTGCAAAGACATACGCCAAAACTCGTCCATCAAAACCCTAGAAGAAAGGCAAAGAATTAAAGACTAATACAACACCCTAACAGCTCTTACTTTTGCTCACAGATTAGTACAGGATTTATACATAAAATTATTGGTAAAAGTGCTAGTAAATATAACAAGCTAATACACAGATCACGCTGTAGATATTCCTGCAACAAAAAAATGATCTAAATAATAAATGTCTATGAGCATCAAAACACAACAACAAAAATTTGGTTTTCAATTAGAAGTTGCAAGTAATTAAATAGTTTTGTGGTAGAAAAAGGTTTCTAATTAACATAAAGCTTATGGGAAAAAAGTTTATTTGAAAAACTGCCCAAACACTTCCTAGTATCTTTTATTAGTATTTTTACCCTTATTAGAAGAAATACTCTCTGAAAGACATTTAAATCAAGTAGTAATTTTAGAACATTGAAATCTATGGAAAAGCTCCTCCAACTCTTGGATAGAATGTCAGATGCACTTTGTAATGCTCTACTATGCTTCCCCTGACCTTTAAAAAACAAACAAAACCCCAAATCAGCCCAAACATTTTCACTTCCCCAACAGTGTAATTTCTATTTTTTTCTTAAAAGGAAGGGCAGGATGATTTCATTACTAAGTTATTAAATGAGTTATAAAGACCTTCTGCATAATTCACTTTCCTCTGTCTTCTTAATCACCAACAGCATTAATTACTGATGGTGGGCTGCAGAAGGAG